CTCCAACCTTTTGGTTAGTATTCAAGTACAAACCTTTTGCACCACCATTTGGCTTAGAGACCTGTTTTCAGTTGCACGGTATTTTCCCGTGTCCCTGAGACATGAAAGAGCAGGCAAGTCAACGTCTGTGGTCTCATGAAAGCAGGGCCCAAGGCCATGGTGCCCGTCCATCTTTCTCCCCCGGATGGTGCTCCTCTGTCCACTGACAAAGCCCAGAGTGTCCGAGATCCTGCCTTCCTGTCCTCACACGGCCGTGGCCCCTGGGCCAGTGCGCCTCGCTAAGCTGACTTGTCCCCGGCCCCTGGCTCAGCTGCGGGCATGACAGCAGCCTCTCCCATGGCTGGGCCCCCAGCCTCCTCTGGGGCCCTTTGCCTGTTTGGAGGGGGAGGGGCTGTGCATCGTAGGGTCAGAGGACGGGGGTGGGGGGTGAGGTCCCTTCTGCTAGTCCGATCACTTGGGTCATCAGCTGGAAAACCCGGGTGTCTGGATGAGTCCCTACAGCTGACTGAATTGTTCCCGAATCAACTGCCAGACAGTCTATAGACCCACCCACCTGGTTTCTCTGCACGACTGTCTCTGTGGACATGTGGCTTCTGTCACTGACCACATAATGCCCCTTGTCTGCCGGCTGTCAGCTGCTCGGGGCTCTGCTGGCTGAGAAGAAGACAGACTGATGCTGTGTTAGGCCTTGTCTGTGGCTGCATTCCTACCATGACACGTTTGGCTTCCTCCGCCACCAAAGCCCACCTTGTCTCCACTGCCTCTTGAGCGAGTCCGTGGTCAGCGAAGGACACCAGGAGCCTCTTGTTCAGCCAGAAAACACTTTCCCACAAAAAGATAGACCAGAAACGATTTTACCTGACTCTTTCTGCTCTGGGGGGGAAAAAAAAAAGCCAAAAAAGAGACAGACTTTAGAGTTTCCGAGGAGAGAGACAGAGTGAGAGCATGAAGGAGAGAGAGAGAGGGAGGGAGAGAGAGATTAAGAGAGAGAGAGAGAGTAAGAGAGAGAGAGAGAGCAAGGGAGAGAGAGGGAGAGAGTAAGGGAGAGAGGGAGAGAGAGAGTAAGGGAGAGAGAGAGAGCAAGGGAGAGAGAGTAAGGGAGAGAGAGAGAGAGATGGAGAGAGAGAGTAAGGGGGAGAGGGAGAGAGAGTAAGGAAGAGAGATAGAGAGCAAGGGAGAGAGAGAGAGAGCAAGAGAGAGAGAGAGTAAGGGAGAGAGGGAGGGAGAGAGAGAGAGAGAGCAAGGGAGAGAGAGAGCAAGGGAGAGAAAGATTAAGGGAGAGAGAGAGAGTAAGGGAGAGAGACAGAAGGAGAGAGAGAGAG